CCTTTCAGTGCCACTGTGTCGTGGGTAGACTCATGAGAAGCTCACCTATGTTGCGGACCATAATGCCTTTCAGGTCATCCACATGCATCTGAGTCTCAGTGACACGATCTGATCCTCGTGGGTCCGAGTGGTGTTTCTACAAAGACAAAAAAAGAGGAAATGGAGCGTAGATTGTGATTGCTAAAATCTGCATGTGTGACTACAGAAGTAAAAAGCCGTCACAAAGCCCTCACAACACAATGGTGCTCTACATGCTCCAGCTCTTTTTCCACACTCACCATCTGAGCGGCCAGTGTTGAGGAGAACTCGCTGTTCATGGCGTAAGGCAGAGCCGTTTGCGCTCGCGACCCGTACGTTGTCTGGAAGCGCTTCCTGACTTCACTGAGGAAGCTGAACGCGCGCGACCTCTCGAAGTCCTTCAGTACAAAGACAGTAAACTATTGGAGTTATTACTTTAAGCACATTCCTATTAAAAGGTCCCGGGAAATAAAAAATGCCTTTGTATATCGTCACCGTGTGTCTGTTGAGTGTACTGTTCTACTTCCTGTTGTAAAAGATCAATATATTACTTCACAAACGTGGGTTGGAGACGCATTTGGGTGCAAATACCTTTATTTCTGTATCTTCTTTATATTCAACTATTTCCATAAAGTGCATTTCAAGGGACCTTAAAATCTATCACTTAAATTCCCACTCACCCCGACACAAATAAATACAGATAGCTGAGCCAACTCTATACTTACGTCATCGGTGATACACAGGTATATGATTCTGTCATGGCAGATGTAATGAAAGAGATAGCTGTAAAAGAAAAAGACAAAAAATGTCAACATTACGTGTATACAATTTAAAGCACAGTTTAATACAGTACACTACATGCTCTGTAAAATGTGTCTAAGAAAACATTAACTACAGATAGACCGTAGTAACTTGAAATGACACCTCTCAACCATTCTACTTTGACTGAGAACACATTGCGCTGTGCCTTTGCGGCATGTGGTGCCACTTTATTGATTCATGTTGGGGTTTCCTGTGATGCACCTTCTGTATTTCTAGAGCTCGTCAAGTGCTGCAATTAGGATAAATGCGGGCTTCTCATGTTGAAGTAGCATGTTTATATAAACTGTAATAATCAGATTATATTTCGAATTTGCCATGAAAATGCAAACGCTGTTACCTTTTTGAAGTTTTCTAAATAAATCAGTGAACACAGCTGTATTTCTGTTTGAAAATCCGGATTACTTCGTTTTTTGTGAAGTGTGTCAATGTGCATGAGAATGACCCTTAGTGACGATGGTTACATCACGCCGGAGGATAATGATGTTGGAGGAGTTCATCATGTCTATCGGCAACAATACATTGCCGTACCCAAGTGGCTGCTAACGTTGTGATTTGCAAGGAATTGAGTTCTACATGGCTGACGGCTGTCATTTGCGACAGTGCATTTGCTGACGTTTGAAATTTGCCCTAAACTAATGACAAGTAAAGCCTGTTTTTGTGTACATATTAATAGTTGACAAGCAATGTTTACACTTGCCTTCACAACTTAGGCATTTCATACAGCACTCTAGATACGTGTGCTACAGTTTTACCCAAGGTGCACTCTATTTCATCACAATATACACTATCTGATCACTTCACCACTTGTACATATTAGTAGGACATGATCTTTCCTAAACTGGGAAACACCTGCATGCTACATGCAGACCCATGTAGCCACATAACAGAGTGAGTCAGAGACTGCTGTGTGTGAATCCTACCTGCCGTGACTGTAGGTCAATTTGTTGTTCTCTGACGGGATTTTGGCTAAAATCTGTTCAGTCACTTCCAGGAAGTTGCCACCACACCACGCATGCTTTGCCAGGATGGTGGTTCCACGAGCCACCACTGCAAACAGGATTGCCATGGCAACAGCTGTGGTTTCAGCTCTATTGCTCGCTGCAACACACGAGACCACAGCAGAGAGGTGTTAGTGACAGGGCCACGGGCACGAGGAGGTAGCTTAACTGAGGATCACATGACAATGAATACAGAAAGAGAGAGGTGTGTGTGTGTGTGTGTGTGTGTGTGTGTGCGTGCGTGTAAAATAAACGTTAATAACGTTAGCCTAACCAAGCTCACTCGCGCTACCGGCGACGTGATCCAGTTGTCACGAGAAACGAAAGCGAAAGCCAGATTAACGGTGGCTGATAAACAACAGGCTCGCTAGCTCATAACGTTGTTGACTAAAGTATATGACGGTGTTTGGTAAGTAACGTTAGCTGTGTGTCGCAATAACGTTAGCGTTACTCGTTTCTAGCAACGGTGCTGACGCAATTAGCGGTTATATACAACTAATAATGAACCAAATACCTCGGTGTGTCGGCGCTGTTCAAAGTAGCCAATGTGGTGCAAATCCAAACATCTAAAGGAGTCTCAGCTGCTAGCAAGTCTTAAAACCTCCAGACAGGAACACGAACTCACTCCTGTGTTGTGTTGTTAATGTAGTTCTTAACACACCCCGTAGGCCACGTACACCATTCAATTGTTTTGTTTCAAGAACTACATTTGTAACTTCCTGTTTTGCCGTGAATTGTCACGTGTTTTTATACCTACGTCAAGATATGGCGACAGGTTCAGTGTGGTATTAGAGCCTTTGTCCCGGTCTTACAGGCAATTTAACAGATAATGCGATGTGCACGTATCCCTCAATTGTTATTCTTTAACATACCAGAGCAGGGGTGGTCTCTTGATAAAAAAGAGGTCAATACATTGTATCACTACCGTATACACTACATGTATATGCCCACTAAATCCAGCGTCACAAAGCCCTGAACCTTCCTTCTTGCCTGTCAGACAGATATCAGGGCTGTAAACCCCAATATTTCTGTATTGACGTGAGTCGGAATGTGAAGCATGGCTGGTGAAGGCGACAAGAAACCTGTGCTGGAGATGGTAAGATGCTTAAACTCCTTTTGGTGTTTGCCACTGTATATAGCTACATGTATTTGTCATTGTTAAACTCTGTTTGTAAGAAGATATTCAATTGAATAAGCTAATTACAGCATTTCGACCGCCCGTAAACGCCTCACGTGGGTAGCTACCAGAAGCTAGCAGTGCGAAAACAATTATAGCACCAGAAACACAAACTACATCAAAAGCTGTTCCCTTTACTGGAACAGAGGTTGTTTTGTGGACTGATATTGAGAGTGGCTTTATGTAAAGCTAAGCTAAAGTTACCTGAACGTAATTCACTTCACCTATTTTACATTTGCTTCTCCGTCCATAGCCGACTCAGAGTTTCTCCACGTGGGGGCAGTATAGCAACAGAACCAAGTGTTCCCTCACTTTCTCTGTGTGCTGTCCAATATGTTACACACATGCTTGTCAATGTGACAGGTAATGGATGTATTGGAAATGCATAATAGTGCCATCTCTTATGTGATTGCTTGTCCCACTCAATAATCTTTAAGGAGGTGATGTTTCTGTTTCGAGTGGAATTTGCATGTGGGTGTTTTATGTTGTATTAAATACTTCTTATTTTTCGGTTTTAGGTCCAGGCTGATGGGGCCGACGAGGGGTGTGTGACATTTGTGCTGCATGATGAAGACCATACACTGGGCAATTCAGTCAGATATATGATCATGAAGACGTAAGTTGTTGTATTTTTTTAACAAAGTGCTGCTTTTAACAGCATGTCGTCAAGGGTTTGACCTTTTGTATTAAAACAGATTTAACCCCTCTACTCCCATGCGGCACGTTTTGAAGAACAAAGAGCATGACTGATGGTTAACTTGTGTCATTTTGGGATTTGACTCCAGCTTTTTCTCCTCACAACTCATACAAGTTATTCCGACAATTGTGTGTGATAACAATAATGTTGATATTCCAAAGGCACTCTTGTCAGTGCGTATGTGGTTTTGTTCCCCAGTGTTTTTGTTCTCAGTCAGAGTCAGCTGGGATGAGTCAAAAGTGGAGAAATTGTAACACCGCTAACACCCATTTTTAGCAAAACATTGATGATAATCACAAATCTCGTTTCCCCGTCCCTGTTTTTTTTCCCGTCAGGGTGGATGTGGATTTTTGTGGCTACACCATCACCCATCCGTCCGAGAGCAAGATCAACTTTCGCATTCAAACACGAGGTGAGAGACACCACCCCCTTAAAACCCCACGGCGTTCAGTCTTCCCTTTCTCCTTCTTGCAATCTATGTTCGCTTGTGTGTGCACACATGCGTAGGAAAAGCCAGAGAGGAAACATTTTGCTCCAGTCACGTTGATTGGAGTCTGGTGCATTCACTTGTCCACTCAGCCCAACACGAAAAGCCGGTAGCTGACTTTGAGCCCCACACACACACACACACACACACACACACACACACACACTCTTGTTCTTCTCTGCAGAGAGTTATAACTACTTGCCTTGTTACAAAAAAACAAAGTGCCTACAGAGAACAGGAGCCCCGACCGTCACATGAAAGGACTCTGCGAGACTTAGACAACAACTTGTTCTTCTTGTTGAGCTAAGAATCAGGATGCCAGAAAATCTTTTCTCCATGGCACGGAAGCACACATTTACCTTCCAGGCACCAAGAAAAACCCTAGTTTCCATCGCGCTTGTAGACATTCAGCCAGAGGATATTTCTGTACGCATTTCTTTTATTATTGCTCCACAATGTAAATGGGTGGTCGGGGGGGGGGTTCCACATCAATTGGGAGAAGAGGGACCGGTACAGGACCGCAACAAACAATTATTTTCATCCTTTTGTTTTCAGTAAAAAAATCGATTAGATAACCACAACAACATACTCTAATAGAGACTGATGTGGCTGCCGACGTTGTCAGCAAACATATTTTATCATGTAAAGCCAATCGGTCCAACTTTCGGCGAGTCCTGCAGAGATGATTGATGAATGTGTTGTCATTATCATTAGTTGCGGTGGATTTCTTACTGTATCCTCCGTCTGTTTCAGGGGGGATTCCGGCTACCGAGCCGCTGCGCAGGGGCCTGAACGAGCTCAGTGATGTTTGTCAACATGTCCTCAACACCTTCCAGGTGAGCCTGCGTGTCCACCGCTTACTGAGAGAGGCTGACCAGCAGCGGTTCAGCATTGATCCGTTTAAGTGGGTGCAAGTGGAATGCGGTCCAACCAACATTTGGCCGACTCACAGATAAATCACAAGCACACGTTCCCTGTTGACTCGCTGACATAAATAGGACGTCAGCGGATCTACATTGAAAGCTTGTGCACTGAGCTGGTAGCATCGTACGTGACCTTCCTTTGTCAAAGGCTGAACCTCTCTCTACAGAGGGAGGGGGGGGCGCAAGTAAGGAGCAAACCCTAGAATCCACACATGGAATGATAATATTTCCATGTGGGATACAGGAAGAAACCCCGTGCTGGCTGTGTGGCTCTCTACATTAGTCCCACAGTGAGAGGAAAGCCGCTCTCCGCGCTGTGTCAACTCCAATTCTGACAACGTTTTCTTTCATTTTGTTCCAGGCAAGAGTCAATGAGTTCAAAGAGAGCGAGGAGCAGCCGATGGAATGAAGAACATCACATGTGTTTGACTGCGAAGCTGCCAGACACAATTTCTACAAACAAACTAAAGACATGTGACCTTGATAAATCCCTTTTTTTATAATATATATATATATATACATATCTATGTATAATAGTTTGATCATGTCACATTCAAACACTTGTACAGTTTTCTTTTTTCGCAGTATGTTGGGTGTGATGTGTGACGCATGTGTTCGTGGATTTTTGGAACGATTGGTGTAATAAATTGAAGACATTAAACTTAGTCAAGGAACATCATTGTTTTTATGTTATTGTGACACAAACCGTAAATTGCTCTCATCTGTCCTTTTGAAGCCGTGTTTGTCAAGTGAAGGAAGAAGTGGAAGCTATATGTCCTTATTAGCAGAGGATTGTGGTGCGGGGGGGGGCAGGGCTTCGTATGGTTCTAGGAAGACAGGGAGAAAATGAGGGGAGACGAGTATAAATATTGAGGTTTAAATAAAATTTTTTTAAAGTTATTCACATCTGTCTGTCAGTCTAATCAACACCTTATCTGTCGTTTGTTTAATCTGTACAAACACCTTTGGGCAAGCGGCAGGTTAGCTGCTTCTCCCTGCTTCCAGTTTTTTATGCGAAGCTAACCGTCTCTGGGGCTTAGCTTCATTCAAAAGTGCCACTTAACAAGAAAACGAGTAGAGAAAAGTGAAGTGTAGCAACACATTAGAGTCATAAAAGTTAGCTGACCGTATAATAAGGGTGCCTTTTTTACTGCGAATGAATTCAACTTTCCCTTGGTAGGAGAAGGAATGTGTTTTACTATGATCCTGTAAATGTTCATGACAGGACTCAAACTGCCAATGTTAATTTTACAAAGTGATTTCAATTTTTTTTTTTTTGACAACGGCGCAGCACAATTTAAAGCGCATGCTGTGGAAAGGAAATTCCCCAAAACCTCACAAGTCAAATGTTCAAGACCACATCAAAGGTGAGCGCAAGACTTGAAATATTGTTTGTGCAGAAAACAATTGACCATCGTGGACACACGGGAAACTGCTGTGAACAAACATTTCTCTCGGCTAAAGAATAACGTTGCAGGGTTATTTTTTGGGACCTTTGTGAGATACAGCTGAAGATAGACGGGGGGGGGAGACATGCAGCAAAGGACTATTTGGCAGTTATCTCTAAGTCTGCTTCTTGGGACCGGCCCACGTTTAGTTGTCCAAAGCAATCAGTTCAAACCTGCGGAAACCTTGTAAACGGGAATCTGTAATACATTTGACATGGTTTCTTGTTTAATGAAATGAGATGTAAACAAAGTGTAACCCGTCATCAAGAAAAACAGCCAAAGACACGGAGCCCGTGACGAGACATGTAACCTCTGACGCTCTGTTAGTAACTGAGATGATTGTTTATGTTCACTCCTGTCAAGGGCGCGCCGCTCCGTCACACCACAGCTGTGCACAGATTTTATACGGGGAGTTGAAGACATTTTTTTTGTGTTTTGTAAAAGCGCTCTCGGGCAGTTAAAGATATGTAAAGCGCATGATACACGAACAGTAAAAGTAAGCAAGACTTTCAATATATTTTCCAAACTCCCTACTTACTTAAAGGTGTTTCTTTGTAAATAAAACTCAGCTCAACACAGTCAAGTCAAGTTAGACTAGATAGGACATTTAATAAGACAGCTGTAGACTCGATGTGCTTCAAAAGAAAATATATAATAGGAAAGTATTTCTATCATCAATTTCAGTAATATTTTGAGAAAAGAAATGCAAAACTAAACTAACTAAAATGATTGACCAAATCTTCACCCGAAGTCAAGGAAGACCAAATCGGAATGTGACCAGGTGCACCTAACAGAGCACTGCACAAATGGAGCGTCTTGTGACTCACTTTAAACCAGATACATGTCTACAAGGCAACGCTGAACAAAAATATTATGAGTAGGCCCGGTAGTGCGCTGCATGAACTCAAAGGTTGATAGCATGTGACATAGCAAGTCACCAGAGAATCAGCATCCCGTTTAGTGCCGGTAGGTTCTCACAAAGGCTACAAGGAATTTTGCTTTGGTGCATATGCAGGAAACACAAATAGAACAAGATATTTAAAAACATTATTTAAGAATTAAGAAATATCTATAATGTAACTGTTTCAAATGAATGTACTAGGCAGGAATGTGCTAGAATATGTATTTTAAGGGAGGTGCAAAGGTTCACGGTAATATGAAGAAAAGTCCTGGAGGTGAACTGGCGGGTCGGCAGGTTGCAGCCAATCGCCTTCTCTGCAGAGCGAACGGTACTCTGCAGTGTGTTCTTGTCCTTGGCAGTGGCTGCAGCGCACCAGTTGGTGATGGAGGAGGTGATGATGCACTCAATGATGGCAGCCTTTGGTGACTTGGGCAGGTCGACCTACTTCAGCTGCTGCAGGTAGGACATCCTCTGTTGTGATTTTTAGTGCTCGAGGCCCTGGGCGATGATGGATGCCAGGAAGCGGAAGGACTCCACAGCGTTGACTGGGGAGTCACGCAGGTCGATGGAAACGAGTGGGGGTCGGTTCTTCTTAAAAATCCACAACCATCTCCACTGTCTTTAGAGCATTTAGCTCTAAGTTGTTCTGACTGCACCAGGTCACCAGATGGTCAATCTCCCACCTGTGGACGGAGTCATCCCCCCCAGAGGTGAGTCCAATGAGGGTGGTGTCGTCTGTGAACATCAGGAGCTTGACGGACTGGCGCCTGTAGGTGCAGCTGCTAAAACTGAGCACTAGACAGGGAGATGATAAAATATCTGAAAAAAATAGCAGCAACACCACCACCCTTCTTGTTAGAGCTACAAGTAGGAAAATAACATTCTAGACGGAGAAGGTTCAATCAGTTCTTCGCAGAATGAGTAGACTGTAAACTGTGTTTGAGAGTCAAGAGTCTACGGTGGCAGGACTTGCACTGTTAGAACGTACCCAAGCTCGTCAAACTTCCGACGCTTGGTCAGTGCCCCATGGCGTCTGATTCCAACACGCTTTCAGCTAACTCCAGTGTAAACCCACCCGCATCATTATCAGCCGGCGTCGTGTAAAGAGCGAAATTAGCCACACAGGTTTGGTGGGTCGGCGTATGGGTCAAACTAACAGTCATGGCAGTCGTTCGTCACGCGACCCACCTGAGTCGCCAGCCACGTGAGTGACTCGTTTGTCACTCGGTAGTCACGTGAGTTGTGAGCAGTGGCGGGCCGTCAGGGCCTGCAAGGCCTTCTCTGCTGGCCTAAACAGAATCACAAAGTTATAGCTATTTTATAATTTAATATTTTTTCTTAAATATACTACATGTATTATAATTTATAAAGATATTTTTCCCATTATCTTATTTTCTCATTGCACAGCTACTGTCTTCCTCAGTTGCTCTGCTTCCAGTGCAGCTTGTTTTAAGTAGAGCTTTTATCCAATCAGATCTCACCTCTGTGTCTCTAGGTAAGAACAGAGGCAGAGGCCTGCAGACTCACAAGTGAATCCCTTTGCAGTTTAAGTGAATGGGGACGATATTGTTGATTGTCATAGTCTTCAACCAATCAGATCTCTAGTTTGACATGTTGGGCGTATTCTTTGACGTGCCAGAGCCTGCTAGCTGGCCTAGCCATATACGTGATTGGTCAGTGGGCTAGCCTGACATGTTGGGCGGTGACAATCCCAAAATCTGCTGCCTCTGTCGAGCAGACATTTTCAGCCTCAAACACATTAAAACCTATTCAAGAAATACAACTGGGGAGGCTCAACTGTCTTCACTGGCATCCATGAATCGAGAAGGACTTCTTACTGGAACTAAAATGCACGGATGTACTGAACAACCGCAAGATTAAACTCTTTGTTAACAAAGAAAGGAGGAAGAACAGCTAAATAGTGAACAGCAGCTCTGGTAAGTTAACTGCAGTAGCTTTAACTGCCATAAATATGATCTATGTCATCATTTAATATGCTTGTTTATATTATATATTATTATTTATACAACTTATATGGATTTTCGTTTGGTTTTATATGTGATAGGAACTATTGTTACGTCCTATGTTGCGCGGGGGACACATTTAGCCGGTGCACAGCAACAAGACGACGCGCGAAGCGGCAGCGGTCTATATACACCGTGCAAAGTGTTAAAGTTAAAGTGTTAAAGTTAAGTTTAAGTTTTTAAGTGATCTACTTTGAAGATTCATGTGTTTTCCAGTGGACTCATTTTCCCTCTCGGTGTTGACAGACGAATAAATCCGTCAGTAACAAGAACTATGGAGTCGTGTATTTCCTGGAGGGAGTGATAGGAGAGTTACTACTCTGTTAATTTGTCTATCGTGTCGTTTTCATGATATGGGTAATATTGTTCCCTCTGATATGAATAATATTTGAATGGCCCGTGCTCTTGAGTGTGTGGCGGAATGCATGTTTTAGCTGAATTGATTTTGACTCATTGTTCGTTAATGCCGCCGCATCCCGTCATGCCGGTATTCATGCACTGCACTCATAGTGTATTTGTAGGTGTTGAGCTTCATTTTTACGAGTGCAGGCCCAGGTATAAAATGCACGGCCCGCCACTGGTTGTGAGTCAACCACGCTCTTTTTTTTTTTACTGGTTGTGGAGACGGACGTATTTTGAAAAGTCACATTTAACGAGCGTACATTAGGCTCGTTCGAGTTTAACTGCGCCTCGCGTGGAAAGCAGGCGGACGTAGAAAGGGGCGTTGACAAAAAACTGCGTTCAAGTCGGACCGTTTTCAGCCGCCTGCTTCTTCTTCTTTCTTTTGCTTTTTTTGGCGGTTGGCAAACAGCGTTCGGGTGCATTACCGCCTCCCACTAATCTGGAGTGTGGACTAAGGACTCTAATACGACAACCAAACGAAAAGAAATACATACAGTGGGTACGGAAAGTATTCAGACCCCTTTAAATTTTTCACTCTTTGTTTCATGGCAGCCATTTGCTAAAATCAAAAAAGTTCATTTTATTTCTCATTAATGTACACTCAGCACCCCATCTTGACAGAAAAAAACAAATGTAGAAATTTTTGCAAATTTATTAAAAGAGAAAAACTGAAATATCACATGGTCATAAGTATTCAGACCCTTTGCTGTGACACTCATATTTAACTCACATGCTGTCCATTTCTTCTGATCCTCCTTGAGATGGTTCTACTCCTTCATTGGAGTCCAGCTGTGTTTAATTAAACTGATTGGACTTGATTAGGAAAGGCACACTGTCTATATAAGACCTTACAGCTCACAGTGCATGTCAGAGCAAATGAGAATCATGAGGTCGAAGGAACTGC